AACCAGTAACGAGATTGAAGCAGTGATCAAAAACCTCCCAAAAAACAAGAGTCCAGGGCCTGATGGATTCCCTGGGGAATTCTACCAAACATTCAAAGAAGAAATAATACTTATTTGCCTGAAGCTGTTTCAAAAAATAGAAACAGAAAGAAAGCTTCCAAACTCATTCTATGAGGCCAGCATTACCTTAATCCCCAAACCAGACAAAGACCCCATCAAAAAGGAGCATTTCAGACCCATATCCCTGGTGAATATGGATTCCAAAGTTCTCAGCAAAATCCTAGCTAATAAGATCCAACAATACATTAAAAGGATCATCCACCATGACCAAGTGGGATTTATCCCTGGAATTCAAGGGTGGTTCAACATTCACAAATCAATCAGTGTGATACAACACATTAATGAGAGGAGAGAGAAGAACCTTATGGTCCTCCCAATTGATGCAGAAAAAGCATCTGACAAAATACAGCATTGGTTTCTGATTAAAACTCTTCAGAGTATCGGGATAGAGGGAACACTCCTCAAGTTAATAAAATCCATCTATGAAAAACCCACAGCGAATATCATCCTCAGTGGGGAAAAGCTGAGAGTCTTTCCCTTAAGATCAGGAACACATCAAGGATGCCCACTCTTGCCACTATTGTTCAACATAGTACTAGAAGTCCTAGCAACAGCAATCAGACAACAAAAAGAAATAAAAGGTATTCAAGTTGGGAAAGAAGAAGTTAAACTCTCTCTCTTCACAGATGACATGATACTTTATGGGGAAAATCCAAAAGACTCCACACCCAAATTATTAGAACTCATAGAGCAATTCAGTAATGTGGCAGGATACAAAATCAATGCACAGAAATCAGTTGCTTCCTTATACACTAACAATGCAACTATAGAAAGAGAAATTAGAGAAGCTATTCCATTTACAATAGCACCAAAACCCTAAGATACCTCGGAATAAACCTAACCAAAGAGGTAAACGATCTATACTCTAGGAACTGCAGAACACTCATGAACGAAATTGAAGAAGACACAAAAAGATGGAAAAACATTCCATGCTCATGGATCGGAAGAATAAACATTGTTAAAATGCCTATGCTGCCCAGAGCAATCTATACCTTCACTGCCATCCCAATAAAAATTCCAATGACATTTTTCAAAATGCTGGAACAAACAAGCCTAAAATTTGTATGGAATCAGAAAAGACCCTGAATCGCCAAGGAAATGTTGAAAAAGAAAAACAAAGCTGAGGGCATCACGTTGCCCAATTTCAAGCTATATTACAAAGCAGTGATCACCAAGACAGCATGGTACTGGCACAAAAACAGACATAAAGACCAATGGAACAGAATAGAGAACCCAGATACAGACCTTTAACTCTATGGTCAAAAAATCTTCCACAAAGCAGGAAAAAGTATGCAATGGAAAAAAGAGAGTCTCTTCAATAAATGGTGCTGGGAAAATTGGACAGCTATACACAGAAGAATGAAACTCAACCATTCTCTAACATCATACACAAAGATAAACACAAAATGGATGAAAGACCTCAATGTAAGTTGGTATCTTTATTGAAGAATCCCTTATAACTACTGATATTGTAATATATGTTATAACTTCCCATAAGAGAGGCATGGAATAGTGCAGTCATCTGGTAATGAACAGTTAAATTTCCTGAGCATCTTACAAGACTCTTAAAAAAGGTCTGTTTGGCTATTGTGGACATTGCTGTTATGAACATTGGGGTGCAGGTGCCCCTTCAGATCGCTACATTTGTATCTTTGGGGTAAACACCCAGTAGTGTAATGGCTGGGTTGTAGGGTAGTTCTATATTTAACTTCTTGAGGAACCTCCATACTGTTTTCCAGAGTGGCTATACCAGCTTGCATTCCCATCAACAGTGTAAGAGGGTTCCCTTTTCTCTGCATCCTTGCCAACATTTGTTTCCTGTCTTGTTAATTTTAGCCATTCTGACTGGTGTGAGGTGGTATCTCATTGTGGTTTTGATTTGTATTTTCCTGATGCCAAGTGATGTAGAGCATTTTTTCATATGTCTGTTGGCTATATGTATGTCTTCTTTGGAGAGATGTCTGTTCATGTCTTCTCCCCATTTCTTAACTGGATTCTTTGTTCTTTTGGAAATTGAGTTTAATGAGTTCTTTATAGATCTTGGATACTAGCTCTTTATCTGATATGTCATTTGCAAATATCTTCTCCCATTCCATAGGTTACCTTTTAGTTTTGTTGACTGTTTCCTTTGCTGTGCAGAGCTTTTTATCTTGATGAAGTTCCAATAGTTCATTTTGCTTTTGTTCATTTGCTTTTGTTTCCCTTGCCTTTGGCAACAGGTCTAACAAGAGGTTACTGCCTGTGTTCTCCTCTAGGATTTTGATGGATTCCTGCTTCACATTGAGGTCTTTCATCCATTTTGAGATTATTTTTGTGTATGGTGTAAGAAAATGGTTCAGTTTCATTCTTCTGCATGTGTCTGTCCAATTTTCCCAGCAACATTTATTGGAGAGACTGTTCTTTTTCCATTGGATATTCTTTGTGCTTTGGCAAAGATGAATGGATAAAGAAAATGTGATATATATATATATATATATATATATATATATATACACAACGGAATATTGCTCAGCCATCAGAAAAGATGAATACTTACCATTTATATCTACATGGATGGAACTGGAGGGTATTATGCTGAGCAAAATAAGTCAATCAGAGAAAGACAATTATATGGTTTCACTCATATGTAGAATATAAGAAATTGTGTGGAAGATCATAGGGGAAGGAAAGGAAAACTGAATGAGAAGTCATCAGAGAGGGAGAAAAACCATGAGAGACTCTTAACTATAGGAAACAAACAGGGTTGCTGGTGGGGATATGGGTGTGAGGAGGGGTATTTGGGTGATGGTCATTAAAGAGGGCATATGATGTGATGTACACTGGGTGTTATATGCAACTGATGAATTATTGAACATTATATCTGAAAGTAATGATCCTCATTAGCCATCATATATGTTGGCTAATTGAATTTAAATAATTTTTAAAAAGTGTCTTTTTTTTCTTAGGAGGAGCATCTGCCTAGTGGCCTTTGGCTAGTAATCTCTCTTTCATCAAAAGTAGTAAAGGTAAACAAGCTTCTCATGTAGAGGTTAGAAAATGCAGATCTCAAAATGTAAGTGAAGTTAAATGGGACTGAGTTTAAGACACAGAGCACGGTAGGAAGTGATTAGAGAAAGAAAAAGACGGGCGCCTGGGTGGCTTAGTTGGTTAAGCGACTGCCTTCGGCTCAGGTCATGATCCTGGAGTCCCGGGATCGAGTCCCATATCGGGCTCCTTGCTCAGCAGGGGGTCTGCTTCTCCCTCTGACCCTCCCCCCTCTCATGTGCTTGCTCTCTCTCAAATAAATAAATAAAATCTTTAAAAAAAAAAAAAAGAAAAAAAGTTTTTCTAAGTCTTTTCTGACAAGTACTGGATAAAAGGCCAGACTGACTAATGTATGTTATACAGGAAGTAGAACAGATTCAATGACAATAGAAAATAAAGAAAAATCCTAACTTGTTAAGTCACCGGTACTAGGAATTCTAGATTGATAAAACTCACCTTTTTTTTTTTCTCTTGTGTTCAGATCCAATTGAGAGATAAGTCACAGAAGTCAGAATGTTAGAGAGAAAAAAATGTCAGCTGCATGACTGATGAAGCCTGGATTGGAGTGTATGGCTATAACAGTGTATGGCAGCCAGAATTGGTGATAGAACAGACAAAGCAACAGATAAAGTTCTGCTCCTATGGTATTTAGTATATGGTGCTTCACTTTAGTGTATGGCAGCCACAACTGGTTTCCTACTACTTCATCCAGAATTAACACCTTGCCCGGTCACAGAGAGAGCTGGGGATGTCTAGACTTCTCGAGGAGCAAATACTGCCCGTATAACCATATTACATGGCTGAGAACAGAAAAAAACAACAACAAACAAACAAACACTTTCTCTGCAGGCAGACATATTGAAAGGTGTGCCAGAACCACTAGACTGAGTTTGCTTTTGTTCTTTCTTTTGAATTTACTGATGAGATAAAGTAACTTTTAGTTTTTCCCTTTGGTGATTGGAGCGCGCAAAGCAGTCACATCAAAAAAGGTCAAATGTTCCTTGCTGCTAGCCACTTTGCACTGGACCATCACCAAGTGCAAGCAGTTTACTGCCAGAAAACCAGCAGTTTACTCAGCAAATCCCTGCTGGGGCGGGGGCAGGACAATCAGGGAAATGAAGGCTCTGCTGGTGGTGTCTTTTTCTCCCACACTCCTGAATGGGATAAGCCCTCCTTCCTTCAAAGAGAGGGAAGGGAGAAGATATTCACTATCCCGGTGAGTGGAAGTTTCTCATTCCTATGGCTACTTAGGCAGGAGGTGGGGGGAGGAGGGTGTGTGTTTTGCCCTAGAAATTGTTTATTGAACAGAATAAAGAGGATTTTATAAGACTGGGAGACATGCCTTATAACAGTCAAAAATGTTACTTTTTCCTTACACCTTGTAAGGAAAAAAAGGGAAACATAATGAAACCAGAAATGTTTACCTAACAATATTTCTTTCAAGGGTGTCACATAGACTTATATATGGAAAAATAAGAACTGAATAAATGTCCTTGGCTGATAAGCATCTCAGTAGATGCCTAGATATAATTTGATGCCGTTCAACATTTAACATAAGTATGTATATATATATATGTGTGTGTGTGTGTGTGTGTGTGTGTATGTGTGTGTATGTCCATGAGCATATATGGATATATTGACCCAGATCGTGCACTGTCTACCTAATAAAACTAACCAAATGTTAAAATTCATAATTGATTTATTAAGTTGACGGAGGGTAAGAGTGACAGCATCTATCAATTGCAATGTTCTTTCATTACTCTTTCTTTACCTCAGAAATAAACAACAAAGAGGGCATAAACCATTTTATTGAAAATGTGACTAAAGTATATAGACAGATAGAGGAGATAATGCACCCAGATAGAAAGATACCAGATTTACTCCTGATAATCCTTACACCCTGACTATTAAATAGGTACATTTTCTGTGAATATTTTTTCAATTAGCAATAATCGCGCCTCGGATAAACCTCATTGGCTACGATACTCCACTGCGCAAAGCTCTGTGAATATTTTTTTATTCAGTGGGGAATAAATACCTAGCTTATAGTATGTATGGTAAGATAATTTTCTTTCATATTCCCTCTATTGAGCCACCAGTTTTACAAATTGAATAAAGAATTAAAAAAATAATTTCATATCTTATTTTATTTCAGAGCTTTCTCTTTGCACCATGAATTTAATGTATATTCTCAAATGTCAGTAAGGAGATGAAACTCTGGTATCAACTAAAGTAAAATTAATGCACTTATAAAATGAACTCTGTTGAAGTTATTATTTTTTTAAGATAGATCGATTGATCAGAGAGAGGGAGAGAGAGCATGAACAGGGGGAGGAGCAGGCAGAGGGAGAAGCAGCGGACCCGCTGAGCAAGGAGTCCTATGTGGGACTTGATCCCAGGACTCTGGGATCGTGACCTGAGCCGAAGACAGACGCTTAACCAACTGAGCCACCCCGGCATCCCTGTAGAAGTTATTTTGCTGTTATCCAGTGGAGTTGATATCTGTCTAAAAGCTTCTGTTAATTTTTTGGTTGTGACTTGAAAGACTGCATGGGGGAAGGAAGAAAAAATTCTTTAATATTTCTACGTTATCCAATACTTACAGTTCTGCCCTCAGTACCATATGAAACCCTTTTCCCTTTTGAGATGATCAGTGTAGAAAAAATGGGGGATGATTAGCTGGTAGGCTCATAAAATCTCACGAACGTTCATTTCTTTGCCCGACTTGTGGGATACCACTCCACAATCATATGTCTCAAGAGAACATGACCATGACAAGTCCGATATGTGTACCTACGGCTGCTTGATGCCGTTGATGGCATTTGAGGACTGACTGAATGAAAAACTAATGCAATTTCAGATTAGAAAAATACATTATAATGCATATTATAAGAACTAAGATTGGAAGTGTTAGATACCATCTTAAATCATCTCAAAGATATTTGGTGCATTTTATAGACCAAAAGATGTACTCCTGCAATAAGGAATCAGAAAAAAAAAAATATCTGCCACTAGATTTACTTTTTTTTTTAAAGATTTTTATTTATTTATTTGAGACAGAGAGAATGAGAGAGACAGAGAGCACATGAGAGGGGGGAGGGTCAGAGGGAGAAGCAGACCCCCCGCCGAGCAGGGAGCCCGATGCGGGACTCGATCCAGGGACTCCAGGATCATGACCTGAGCCGAAGGCAGTCGCTTAACCAACTGAGCCACCCAGGCGCCCCTAGATTTACTTTTTTAAATGGAAGTATAATTAACATACGGTGTTATATTCGTTTCAGGTGTACACACAATGCTTCAACAATTACTTAGTGCTCACCACAATTAAGCGTAGCCACCATCTGTCACCAAACGGTGTTATTACAATATTATTGACTGTATTCACTATATAGTCAATTCACTATATTCATTTATTTATTTTATAACTGGAAGTTTGTGCCTCTTAATCCCCTTTATCTACCTTAGAATCACTTTTTTTTTTAAATGCCTTTAGAGTTAAAGTATTTATTCTTGCTCTAGTTTTTTGTTTCTCCCCCACCCCACATCCAATGCAAAATGGATCTATGAAGGTGATTGTAGGTAACAGTCTCAGAAGACTACTGCATCCATGGGTCAATATTAGCCTCAGACAGGGTGAGTTGCACAACTATCTTCCTTATGCAGGAAGAGATAGTCCTAAAAATTTAACATAAGCAATGAATTTTTATTTTAATTTGCATCTCCTATCTTCTACAGTTAGATTATACATGTAGTGGAATGAATTATATGTCATTAAAATATTATTTGTATTTCACATTAACTGATAGCCTTTGGGAATTAATTTTTATATATATAAAATATATATTATATATAAAATATATACATAAATTTTGTAGCTATTTGTCAAGATATGTTGTATACCTTTTATATCAGATATCCGACTGTAGCACACTGCAAAAGGTCATGTCAAGACTCCACAATCTGCCATAGAGCTTTCACGTTCCCAGAAAAGTAGTCATATTAAGGATTATTGCTTTCTTACACAGATGGAGAAAAGCTGCTCTTCTCTCAACCTAGTTTCTGAAGCACACATTCTGGCACATCCCTACCAGAATCTTAAGCAGAGAAGCTATGGATATAGAAACTTTGTGTTTTTCTTCATAAGACACTTATAAAAGCTCACGTGTGTTATGCATGGCAGTAGATTCTAGGATGGTGCTTTGCTAATCAACCTTACTTGTGATTAATTTCATAAAATATACTGATTTTATCACACTATTAAAACAAAAAATCATATTTTTTATGGTTGATTCCTTTTGAGGTTGAAGAGATGATATGGTGACCTGCAAGAAATAGACTATTAATGTGTTGGTTAAGGGACTAGATAGTTGATAATTAGGTTTCCATCCAACATGAAACTTAGTGAAAGATACTTCATGGATACATTTAAAAAAACAATTAATTTTGCATAATCACAACATGTAAAGTGTTGACTAATGTAATTAGTACATTGCATGAAAAAATTAGTATAATTTTAGTATAATCCCTTAATCCTATTGGGAAATGATTGTTGTTTAAAGAATCCTGAGTGTTAATGGTGAATCAAATCTCATATTCTCTCCCTTAAAGCCCCCATGCAAGAGACATTACCATGATATGACCTACCAACAGGCAAACAATTAAGCCCAGTTAGCTTGTTGTGGCAGTTTAACATATTTTCACAGGTCGATAAGGCATCAATATTTTTAAATGGATTTTTGGTTTTATAGTTTTCAGGATTTGTCAATTAATTTGTAAACACCAATGTATTTGTATAAATGTATATACTTGTGCTCAAATAACCTCAAGTGTAAGAATGTATGTGGGAAAAAAAAAACATGTTTTATTTTAAGACTTTCAAAGTCTCAATATTTTTATCTGAAATTATGCTCTATTATGTATCCATTTTGTATGCATTGAGTTATGAATCCAGATGTCTACTCATTTCTTCTAACAACACTTATTTGAAATGCATGCTAATCTTCCTAGTCATTGCTATCAAATTCTGTGGTTTAAAATCTATAAAGAAATCACCTGAGGAGGGCTTTAAATTACTGATGCCTAAGCTGTATCCCAGAATAATTAATTCAGAATCTTAGAGGATAAGATACAGGTATCAGTCATGTTTAAAGCCTAGATAATCCAATATACAAGCACACTTGAGAGTCAGTGCTTAGAACTACCTATAAATATTGTGTATTCATTTTGGGACAGTATGAGCTAAATACCATCTAGAAAAAAGATAACATTTTCCAGCATTTTTTTCTTTCTTCAATTTAATGATTTTGTTGGACATACTATTGTTTCCACACTACTGAAGTTCCTAAATATATGCTATATTCTGCAGTATTAATACACATAGATGCTGAATTTTTAGTAATTCTCAATCTTAGCTGCAGATTGGAAATCTCTAGGGAGCTATTAACAATTCGAATATTCAGGTGATTTTGATGCATGGCAAAACTGAAAACCCTTCCTTTGATCTATATGAATGCTTAAATTGTACTCTGTCATTTTTTAATCCATTCAAAACAAATAAGCTTATTTTATCACTTTATTGACTGGATTTAATCTTCGAGCAGTTTTGTTTGTTTTTGCTAAAAAAATTAACTGTATGGTTTATGTCGATTATATAGCTCTCAATTTCACATTCATAATTAGAAATATGGCTAGATTAAATACCTCTTGGAAATTTAGATTTTTAAAAATATTCTTCATACTTTATGTGGCTTTAAAGGTGTTGACCCACAGACTTCTAACCCTGAATGGTGCACTGCACAATTTTTAGTCAACAATTTTTTTTTTAGTCAACCATTTTTTTAAATGTTGTGTAGAGTTTTAGGTGTACGACATGTTGATTTGATACATTTATATATTGCAAGATGATTACCACCATAGCATTAGTGAACATATCTACTATGTCATATAATTATCATTTTTTTGTGTGTGTGGTGAGAATATTTCAGATCCAGTCTTTTAGCAATTCAGTATGCAATACGGTACGGCTAACTATAATCACAATGCCATGCATTAGATCCCTAGAATTTACTCATCTTCTAACTCCAAGTTTGTATACTTTGACCGGTATTTCCCCAGTCCCTTTCCTCCCCACCCCACCTCCTGGTAAGCACCACTCTACTCTCTGTACAAGTTTAACTTTTTAGATTCCACATATATATCATACAGTAACTGTCTTTCACTGACTTACGTCACTTAGCATACGCCCTCACGAACAGCTACTTATTTTTTTAAGAGGGTTCTACACCTGGGAAAGAGTTACATACTTAAGATGCTACTAGAAACTTAAATATGTCCTGGGCTTTGCCCTGTAATTGGATATATACTGTATATCATAGAATCTCTAGCCTAGACTAATTTATAGACTAATATATATGACCACTGGTCTAAATTATATACATCTAGTGTAGACTATCTATGACTATATACATGTATAGTCTAAACCTGTGGTCCTAAAAGTGTGTTCTCTGGATGAGCAGCAATTTGTCAAAAGTGCACATTATCAGGTCCCATTCCATATACTTTGTGAGTAGGGTCCAGCAATCTGTATTTTAGTAAGCTCTTCAGCTATTATATATGTTAAAGTTTGAGAACCACTGGTCTAGACCATTGTGCCCAAATATTCTGTAGTCATAATCATCTTGTAAAAGTTTTGCTAACATTCATTTGTTTTGCATATTTAATCTTCTTTGAGATTTTTCTACCTAGAATCTCCCTTTGTAAACACTTCCAAATTATATCCTCAGCTTCCTGTAGCAGTGCTTTTTTCTCAGCCCAGTTCAGGAGATATTAGAAACATTTAGAAATGATAGTTATGTGTAGGTAAATGATTTATTGCATTCATTTAAATACATTCTATATAAGTAATCACATGCAATCGTAATTGGTACTATTTCTTTACAGAGTGCCTCCCACACAAACAGCCAAATAGTTTTAAATACTTCTGATTTTAAATAAAAATAGTGC